CCCAGCAGCACCCCCAACCCAATCTCAACACCACCCACCCTATGGTCACCCGGTCCAAAGTCGGCATATCCAAATCCAAACATATCCTCAACCTTAACTCCATGGCCCAAATTTCCCCACTCCCACCCACCTATCGTAGTGCACCGAAGGATCAAAACTGGTACAATGCTATGTGTGATGAATTTAATGCTTTAATTCAAAACGAAACATGGGAATTAGTACCCCCCTCCCCCTCACAAAGCATTATCACTGGCAAGTGGCTTTTTCGCCACAAATTTGGTCCTACAGGTGAATTGTCCACGTACAAAGCTCAATGGGTGGTCCGCGGATTCAATCAGCGCTATGGCATCGACTATGACAAGACATTTAGCCCTGTTGTTAAACCAGCCACGGTACGGATTGTTCTCACTCTTGCTCTAGCTCATGGCTGGCTGATCCATCAGCTAGATGTCAAGAATGCTTTTCTGAATGGTACACTCCACGAGACAGTTTATGCCTGCCAGCCCTCAGGTTTTCAGGATCCCGCACGCCCACATTATGTTTGCAGGTTGAAGAAGGCCCTATATGGCCTCAAGCAGGCCCCGCGCTCTTGGTATCACCGGTTTGCAAGTTTCCTCCTCACTTTGGGCTTCCGGGGCTGCAAAAGTAACACGTCCCTCTTTGTTTACTCTCATGGTTCTGACACGGCTTATCTTCTTCTTTAAGTGGACGACATAGTTCTCACAACCTCCTCCTCTGCTCTTCTCACTCGTCTCACTCAGAAGCTTAAGGGAGAGTTCGCCATGACAGATATGGGGGACCTCAATTTTTTTCTTGGGATTAATGTCCAGCGCACTGGCAGCGGCCTCTTTCTTCACCAGACACAGTTTGCTCATGAAATCCTGGAACGTGCCGACATGCTCCACTGCAAGCCCATCTCCACGCCAGTTGACACCAAAGCAAAGCTCTCAGCCACGTCCGGTACACCACTTCCGAACCCCTCCATATACAGATCCATCGTCGGCGCCTTACAGTATCTCACTTTCACTCGGCCTGATCTTACATATGCAATCGAGCAGCTCTGCCTACACCTTCATGCCCCCCGCAGCACCCATCTCATAGCTATGAAGAGGGTTCTACGCTACATCCATGGCACTGCTACTCATGGCATCACCCTTCACAGTACGGGCACAGATTCCTTGCAGGCCTACTCCGATGCTGATTAGGCTGGATGCCCCGACACTCGTCGCTCCACCTCGGGGTATTGTGTTTTCCTCGGAGACAACCTCATCTCATGGTCCTCCAAGCGCCAGGCCACCACCTCCCGCTCCAGTGCTGAGGCCGAGTATCGTGCCGTGGCAAACACCGTAGCTGAGGCAAGCTAGGTCCAAAATCTTCTCCTTGAGCTTCAACAACCCCTGCGGCGTGCTACACTAGTCTTTTGCGATAACGTCAGTGCCGTGTACCTATCATCAAACCCAGTACAGCATCAGCGCACCAAACACGTAGAAGTCGACATCCACTTTGTCAGAGACAAGGTTGTCCTAGGGCATGTTAGAGTACTACATGTCCCCTCCTCTTCCTAGTATGCAGATATTTTTACTAAAGGGCTTCCGTCTCTTCTCTTCTCCGACTTCAGACACAGTCTTGGCGTCCGTCCTTCGCCGGTCACGTAGTTGGGTGCATGTTAAATATATTATGTATATATTTAATATTAATGATGTGATCATTGTAATTATGGTAGTTTACATATATAGGTTCCCTTCCGTAATTAGGAATCTTCTGTAACTATTTATACGAGGCTTCGTCCTCCGTTATTTCTCAATAGAAAATAACAATTCTTCACTCTCTCTCACGTTATCCTTTCAGCTCCACATGATCAGACTATTACCATCTTCTTCTCTCATCTCTTCTTTCTTTTTCTTCTCTCTTTGATTTTATTCAATCTTTACCATAAATAACAATTACATTCTTCAATCTTTTCTCCTTAATTCTTTGGAGGGTAGTTTCATGAATTCTGTTATTTCATTTTTTTTCACTTGGTTGGCGATGTAGATCGTAGTGCAGGGGGAGGCATAGCTTGGTACAAGATTGACCGTTAATGCAGAATTAGAGTATAAAGAGGGATAGTGGCGGCTGGATCAGAATTTACTTCCATCCAATCTAATTGGGTTTATCCTTCCTTTGTCTCTTTCTTCTTAACAATTTAAATAATTTTTTTTTTGTAAAATTAGAGTTGAATCATTCGAATCTATCTTTGATGTTGTTCTTTTGACATTTGATTTTCACTTTCCCATTGTATACTTAATTTCATGATAATGCATTTTTTGTTTTTGTAAATGCATATTTTTGCATGATGGATATCTGGGCCTAGAGAACGCGAATAAATGGCCCAATCCGCAGGAGTGACTTGGGCCGGTGTGATAAAAGCCCAGATTCTCGTCACTTGGCCTGAACGTAAAGTGATGGTTCTGGACAACGCAAGGACGTGGAGACATCAAGGAAATATGGTGAACCACCATGATTGGTGTGCAAGCGATAATGGTGAGAATTGTGCGCACGATGAGTGTCCATTATGTATGTAATTGTAGATAATATAAATAGAGGGAGAACCCCCCCCCCCCCCCATTGTAAGGCAAGTGAAAAACACTGAAACACAGTTATTAATAGAAATATCGTGATATTTATCAATTATCATTATAATCCGTTCTTCGCCGCCATAGTTGTTGGGCTAATTCCCATCATTGGTGCTTTCATTGAGAGATATTAAGAGTGAGAGATTGTAAATTGAGAATATGGCCGGTCGAAGGACGAGAAACTCGAGGCGCAGTGCTGCAAATTCTCAAAAGTCGTCAGCCATGCCAAGAGTTCCTGAACAACCAGTCACGACACAGCCTAGTGGCGTTGAAGCGGCGTTAAACAATCTTGCCAACATGATGGCAAATGTTATGGATAGACTCGAGACTCTTCCCAACCCCTCTTGAGTCCCATGACAAATTTCCCAAATGTGGCCAGATCAGATGAATCCCTTTTCTGCAGGAACTCCATGTTACAGAGGAGATCCAGTGAGAAAGAGAGGAGGTGAGAAGGCGTCTCAAAGAAGAGTTAGCCCGGAACACCTGTGAATGTGAAAGGCAAACTAGTGTCCTGGAATTACAAGTACAAGATGTATATATATAGGAGAAACCTAGGGCTACAAAACTTGTTCCCCGAATACAAGAAACAAATGGGCTAAAAATAAACCAGGCCAATACAAGTGAAGCCCAAAAATATCGAGCCTCCACAAACCCAACATTCTCCCACATGAGGGCTTAATAATCATCAACTGCCATCTGCCACGATCGCTTGTACATCTAGTAATCTTCCTCAGCTCTCCTACTGCAGCATCTCTCTCATCAGTCACAACTAAATCTGCCTCTAACTCGTCCTCGGTCCCTACAGCTCCAACTGCAAACGCACACTGCCAGATCCTAGAACATCCTCAGAACAAACACTCTCCATACTCAGCAAGAAATTTTATAGAGGTGTTTCAACAGTTGGAATACTGGTTCTCTTAACCCACTGTCTTCTACGAACCTTGGCTAAAGCACCACCTAAAGTCCCACTGCCACAAAAACCTCTAACTAGCCTCCTTGAACCTTTCTTCGCTTGTTCATCCGGAGTCTGACTTGTGGCTCTAGGTTTCTTTCTTGCACAGACAACCTTCTTCTGCCCACGACACTCTGTGAACCGGACTTTATTTCTCTAAACTGGTAGGGTCACTCCCTAAGATGGTAACTCGACTATATACCGCGAACCTCTCTTTCTTCCACGAGCCATGACAAGATTTCCCTTCACGACCTTCCGCTGCCTGTCTCCAAACTTCACCTCGTGTCTTTGTTTGTCCAACTCCCTGACAAAAATCAAACTTTTCTTCAATGTTGGAACCACTCTAACATCCTTCAAAGTCAAGAAACCAACTGGGGTCTGCAATACCATGTCACACGTGCCCGTCACATCAAGAGATCTATCATTCGCAAGTCGTACCTTTCCAAAGTCTCTAATAACCAAATTCTACAATGCTTCACTACTGTGGGTAGTATGTAATGAAGCACCAGAATCCATGACCCAGGAATCCACAGTCAGAAAGACCTCCTCGTCACTAGCAGAGCCCTCAGTAATGTTCACTTGCTTATCATCCGGGCATTGATACCTAAAATGCCTCACCTCCTTGCATTTCCATCACGTTACATCTAAGATTTCACGAGTCTTCGACTGACTCCTTCATTTGTTCCCGCTCCCACTACCTCTATTATTCCTTCTGCCTCTGCCAACATGTAACAATTCACCAAAACTCCCTAGAACTCTTCCTTCTAACGTCCTCACCAAGAACGAAATCACGAATCTGATCGGAAGTGAATCCATCGGGTCCTACTAAACCGGTGTTGTAACCATTCCAGACCAACTATCAACAAAGACGATAGCAGTAGCAAAGCTTGAATGCTAAGCGGTATGCTCGGTAACTGAAGTGCTTTCTTTCATTCTTGTGTTCAGCAACTCTCTATTTAGAAAAACTTTGTTCACTGCCGATGGCTTCTCGTACATGTTAAACAACGCTTCCAATCCAAATCTGCCCAATCTGCATTCGACATCTTTTCTAGCTTGTCACCTAAAACCACGTCAAAATCTTTCTAAACAAGCAAATCTTCAATTTGCATCTTCCACGAACTGAAATCCATATCATCTAGACAAAAAATTGGACAAATCCACAGCCCACCAATAAAACCACTCCAAACCAAATAGCAAGCCCAAAACAAATATGACACGGCCCAACTTCTTTTTCCATTCTTTCTTCTGTCCAGCAAAAACCCTTTCTTTTTTTTCTTCAATTTCCTTTTCTTTCTTTGGTGCTGTACACGGCACTTATGCGGCACTCATCAACGTGCTTAATCAGGATGGTCAGCGGGCGGCTGCATTAGGCGATGACAATCTGCGGCAAGTGACGCTGGCGGTTTCGCGACTTGACGGCCGCTGCTCAACGACGGCTCCAATTGAGGACGGCGATACAATCTAGATGGCAACAGCTAGCTGTGCGTAGGTCTAACGCGGCGGCTGCGCTCCCCTTCACTGCGGCAGCAATTCCTCCGCAATGACAATGGCTCGCGACCTGTTCTGCCCTCAATTACCCGCTGCTAATGCCCGATCTCGTCGGCGTCGCTCCTCGCAACTGATTTACCCCTCGACCTAAACGGGACTCCTCAAGCCGGCGGCGGCAACTCGGCGAGCGGTTGGACGACACCTGCTTGCGATGGAGTAACCCTAGGTGACAATTTTCTTCTTGCCCACTCGTGTTGAACGACCTCACTCTGATACCACTTGTTGAAAATTGAACACACATCACACACACACAAATCTCTACAAGAATCAAGAGTGAACATAACACAAATGACACACAATAATTTAATGTGGTTCAATTTCTCTAATCTACGGGTGCAACGGGAGGGTTCACTTGTAGTGTCCCGAAATTACAAAAGGAGAAAGACCAAACTAGGAGTAAAACATATGTCATATCCTTAAAATAACAGTTCAAACTTAAACTCCTCTAAATAGGAGTAATTGACTTAATAAAGCATAAAAAACTAATCACCACACGCTCTCCTTTTGCAGCCAACTCTAGAACTTAAAAGAAATCAGCCAACTCCACTACAGCATGCTGATGACGACGCCCACTGTTGCCATCGTCGCTGACAGTGACGCCCACAGTCACCGCGTCCGTGCCACTATCAACATTTGTTTTGTAACCGTAGTAGTCGATAAATCCAACAAACCACGATGAACTCCATGCATTTCATTCAAAACAAATAGTGTGATTTTGTTGAAAACACCACTCGACAAAGTACTCCACTTTGATGTTGGGATAGAGGCACTTTCATCTTAAGGCACGCTACCTCAAACCTCAAAGCTGAAAAAGTATTTGAGCAAAGGTACTCTACCTCAAACTCACTGCAGATGTTGATGTCGACGACTCGCCGCCACTATTGCTGCTGCTACGTCACTGCAACTATAACTTATATTCTGCCTTGCTCCACATCCACTACGCCACTAGTGTAAAAACCAATTGTTACCGTCATTAATTTTTCACAGTCAATGCCGACATCACCGTTCTCTACCATTGTCGCAATAAAAAATATGCACAGTCGTGATCACAGTGCCACATTAAATGCAGTGTCAAAGAAAGACATAATGCCCACATGGCACCACATAGTGTCATATATGACAATATTATGCCTCACGTGGCACCACATACTGTCACACATGACAATATATAATGTCACACATGCCCATGTATAATGTTACAATGCAAATTCACAATGTCACAATGCAAAATTTACCATGTCACACAAGGCATAATTCCAAACCCACCCCAATGCCTTGCACAACTCACGACAATAATCACCCTATTCAGGGCAATCATAGTCCACCGTCCTCAAGAGTGATGCATCGTTGTTGCGCCGACCCCAAATCATCATTATAAAGTATCAAAAAGAATTCGAAGAAAATAAAATTCAATTAAAGATCGAGAGAAAACCCCTCACTTTTGAAATCAAAGGCTTTAAGGGAGGGAGATGGAGGTGGGGCGGCGTGGCATGGATGTAGCAAAAAATCTGAGAGTGTGTGTACGTGCAGGCGGCTATAGCGCTACGATTTGGTTACGACGTCACAATAGAATGGATTGTGGAAAGGGATGAGCGAATCTTTGACGTTGGCAAAACGAGGTTGAACACTACAGCTGGGTAGCGAGTCTTTGAAGGTGATGACAATGGCGGCACAGTGTAGATGACAGAAGTGTAGGTGGTTGAGGCGATGGGGAAAGCAGATCAGAGATGGAGCACGTGTTGTGGATGCAATTGAGGAAGAGAGTCGTGCTTCAATCGGAAAGGTTGGATCTGTAGTTTGTGCGACAAGATTAAATCAATAAAAAAATTAAATAATCACTCCTAGTTAGAGGAGTTTAAGTTTAAGCTCTTATTTCGAGAATATGACTTATATTTTACTCCTATTTAGGGTGATTTCTTAATTACAAATATAAGATGTGTATATATAGGAGAAACTTAGGGCTACAAAACTTGTTCCCCAAGAAACAAGAAACAAACGGGCTAAAAATAAATCAGGCCAATTCAAGTCAAGCCCAAAAATATCTAGCCTCTACAAACGAAACAGTAACTAGATCTCTACTTTCTTTCTTCTAATGCAGAAGACCCAATCGGAATTAGAGTAGGTTTCATCGCCAATCAGAGTTAGAAAAACACCAGCTACAAATCATCCATCCAAGCAGACACTGATCAAACTAGGGTTTCCTGGTCACCGGTAGTCCGCGGATGTTCTCTTCCCTGCCTACCAAATTAAACGCTGGTTGTACGGTTCTTCTTATACAACCGGCTGCATAATATAAACTACATGAACATATCATGGAGGGTGGATTTTAATGATGCTTTTGGTTAAGTATTTATATATGCATGAAGAAGCTCTTAGGCTCTATTTTTTTGATTGGAAAAATTAACTTCTAATTTTATCCAACCTTTTTCAGTTTTTTACCAACTCCTTTCGGCTTTTTCTAACAACGACTTAAAAAATGAATTTACATATGATGACTACATAATAACATTATATATCTAAATTTATAACATAACACTTTCAATACAAACAAAGATGAATTATTTTTTATATCGATAATTAGTTTTCTTACGTAATTATTTGGGTGAATATTTAATTGAGTAATTTTTTAACAGTTTGTTTTTCCAACATTTTCAAACTCGTTCTAGCTTTCTCTCTCCAGTTTCTTTCAACTCTTTCCTGTTTCTTTTAACATCTAACTTTAGAATTCTAACTGAAAAGTACAAGACCTTAGTATAGAAGCAACATGGAATTATAAGCTATTTGAAGCTTTCATCTTAACTTTTGAAGGTCAGATTATGTATTTTCGTACAAGTTTTGGTTTTTAAGGTTTATAATGAGAATCATATGAGGAAACTAAAACACAAGGAGTCGTTTAAAAAAAACACGCATGAATTCTGATACGAAAGAGCAGATTTTCATCCTCTGTAACATGCGGTAGAATTTCAAGTTGCAAGAATCCAAACTTTGTATGTGAGGTATAGTTTGAGGCTTTCGGCCATATTTACATTTTGTTTTATGCATGTGGTTTTTAAAGTTATTATTTATAAAAATGAATTTATTTTTGAAAAAATCAATTTGATTTTTTTCAAAACTAAGATTATATTGCTAGGCCAAAAATTATCTGCCCAAAGCTTTGACAAAGAAATTTAGCATGGGTTAATTGACTTAATTCCAAGCTTGAGTTAATTAAGCCTATCGATATGCATTTGTACTTATTGATTTTTTTTTCTAAGATCAATATTATTAAAATTTTGTAAAATTTCTTCTCGTGCATATACTGTTTTACATAAAAACAAACAGGCAAAGCACTCCTCGTATATTTTGCTTCTCCGACATCTTACTGAGTTTCCCCCTCATCTTTTTGCAAAAAGCCGCTCCACGGTGGTAAAGTCTGATCTTGTGTGTTGGCCGAAGTGACAATAGTCACATTGAACCCTCGAATATGTTTGAAGATCTCGAAATGATCTTCCAGTTCCGGGGAGAATTCGCAAAACTAATTTGGAACAAACAAAAATAAGAAAACAGAAAAAATTAAGTAAGATCAATGAGTATGAAAAAGACAAATAATAGGAAAGAACACAACATAAAATCATTAGAGAAATAGAGGGAGGGAGAGGGCACATAAACACCATCTTTAATCCATATTGCTTAATTGAATAAATTCTTGATGGGGAACCCAATATATGCAATAAAGATAAACGACGGTCTAATACCCAAAGAGATTGATGCAATGGCAAAAGAAAAAGCAAACATCCTGATCTATGGACGGAAAAAAACACCCAATGCATTAAAAATATTTCCTCCGTCACAAAATATTTACAACATTTATTCTAACAGCAGTCACAGGAACTTTTGTTTATTTATACGTTTTCATTGGTTATTTGATAAAATAAAATATACTTGACACCTCTTATTTCGAAAAACTTTTCATGTAATTTTTGGATATGTAAATTTTATTTTTTATTTCTATACTAATATGTAAATAAAATTAATTTAAAAAACTTGATATTTTACCTCGGGAATACAAGTGGCAAATATTTAGGGATGGAGGGAGTATAAGATTGCAAAAACATAGAAAGGAAATAGGTCCAATCTCTGAAACACAAGAGTCGTATAACTCTTCTTGACAACGAAAAAAACAAGTCACATAAGGAAATAAAATCATTTCTGATCTCAATTGTACCTCAAGCAGTGAAACTCAAAAAGGAATTTCAGATCAGTTCCGACAAACATAATTAGAACTGTAATAAACCAGAGTTTCAAGTTCTTTCCACAAAAGTAGCTCTTCCTCTCATCTAGTGGAGGCATAGAAACCTTTTGGGGTAGCTGATGATGACTATCCCAAAATTAAGCACCTGCACTTCATAAAATTAAATTTAAAAGCCCTTCACTCTTCACAACCAAACACCACCCATTGCATCCTGAACTTGTTCTGCATGAAAGAATTGCAACCTGTATAGAAACACCATAGTAAGCAGCTAAAGATGGTGTGTGACCACCGGAATGCAGGAACCTTTACCTGCAAAACTAGCCAAATGCATAAGACAACTTGTAGAGAAGTTCAGTAAAATATGCTTTACCACATCTCCCACAAATGAGGCTAAAACAAGTTGCCCTAGCAAGTTAGGTTTTACTCCGTAAATGGGAAGGGGTGTTTTCTGTTTCTAAGAAGATGGTGTTTGATGTCCTTGTCACCTTAAGTCTTTATTAAAAAAAACTAAACTACAACACACCGACTAGAATCCCACAAAATGTAGGTTCTGAGGAGGATGAGTACACAAACTTTATCCCTACTCAAAAGTAGAGAGCCTATTTCCAAGAGAATCCAGCCCGAGCAAAATTAAAAAATAGACTCACCACCAATATCTAGCTCTCAAACATACCCTTGTTTAGTGATATTTGACACAAAAAAGGAAAAATGTGTCCTCTATCCCTCTCACAAAATTAAGAGTAGAAATGTGATTTTGTACCAAATCAATAATCATGAGAAGAGATATGCACAAGAATCAATTTTTTAGCCACTAAGGTTAATTGGAGGTGGAATGGTTCTATTACACTTGCATAATTTTTGAAAGATTTGCAGGCTAAAGTTAATTGGAGAAGATAAATTGGCTAAACTTCCAAGATTTGTTTGCATGGAACCCCCTCCCCCCCCAAAAAAAAAAGAAAAAACCAATTTTAAATTATGTTCAGGCTCTTTACTATGTAGAAGAAGTATAAAGAAGGTTTGCTTTATTCAATATCACAAGTCAGTGGACCTGTACTCCACCTGCACAGTGGAAAATGGGCAGTGAGCTATACTTTGAAAAATGGACTATTTTGTGCCAAAAATGAAAAAGAAAAAAATGTATAATCCTTTGGACCAA